ATATGAATGTGAAAGTTTGGGGAGCACATGCCTTCTTATCCTCTCTTAGTTTTTTTTTTTTTCTCTTGCCACTTCATATACATTTTAAAATTTTTACATTTTTGGTCCCTCCCTGCAGCATGTGGGACCTTAGTTCCCTAACCAGGGATCAAACGTGCGCCTCTTGCAGTGGAAACAAGGAGTCAACCACTGAACCACCAAGAAAGTACCCTAGTTCTAAAATACTGTTGCAAAGCTGAACCTCTTCCGAGCAGCCTCTCAGAAGAGCATTCAGGACCCTTTTAGATTCTGACTCCAAATTCCCTTCCCTGCTTAATACCTAAGGGGCCCTCTACCCTCTGATCAAGGCACCCTGACTGATATGGGCAGACTTCAGGACTTTACTCATACAACTTCTGCTTGGAAGGCCCGCCTCACTATTCCTTCTCCAGGGTTCCTGGAGAATGTCACATCCTATATTTCTTCAAATGTCACATCCTCTGTTTGAATTAGTAATTTCCTCCTCTATGTTCTCATGTCACCTTAGAGCATAAGTTACAGCGTAAGTGCCAGAAGCAAGTTACAAGTAATGGTTGTGTTCTCCCACTCCCAACATCTAAAGCAGGAAAATACCTGACTTATTTTTGTCACACTGCATAGAAGTTGACCCAATGAACAGTAAATTGTATTTGCCATGATGAGAGCCTAAATTTAGAAAAACCCCTGAACCCTTGTGGCTCAGCTGGTAAAGACTCCCCCTCAGTGCAGGAGATCTGGGTTCAGTCCCTGAGTTGGGAAGATTCCCTGGAGAAGGGAAAGGCTACCCACTCCAGGATTCTGGCCTGGAGAATTCCATGAACTATACAGTCCATGGGGTCTCAAAGAGTCGAACATGACGGTGACTTTAACTTCACTTCACTTCACCCCACCTGAAATTTGAAAAGATAGCTAAAAACAAACAAACACAAGCTGCAAAAATAAAGATAACTGAGTTGAATTTAAATGAAAATCTAGCATCAAAGTGTGGAAGCTTTATGTTGAATGTCAAATGTATATAATGAATTACTAGCTGTTTTTAGATGATGTAAATTAAATCATTTGCCTATGCCTCTCAGAGAGAAAGGTATATATATTTATTCTTTAAAATTAGTACCCTAAACTAGCAGAGAATAGTCTTCTCTAGAACACAGTTTTCATTTTATTTAAGGCAATTTAAGGCAGTTTTCATTTAAAATGTGAATTTGAGATGTTAAAAATAAGTTTTAAAAGTTATTAGGTTCAGGCCAAGATTTCCCAAATCTCCTATTTCTACTATGAATTCAAAATATTCTGTCACCCAGGAGCACAAAATTGCCAAGGTTGTTTGTGTTTGGAGTGTTTGTGCCACATATAGGGGGCCATGTGATAAACTTATTCTATTCCTTATCCTAATCTGGATCATCAAATACATAGCTGTAGAGGGAATGGTAATCAATTTGTTTCAGATCCCAATACAGTCAGTGGAAAGACTCTTACTATCCCCAGTTCTATTTTACTTTTTTATTTTCTTGAAGACTTAAGAATGATGTTCAAGTGCAGAAATTTCTTTAGGATATGGTGGAGGGGAATGAAAGAGTTTGGGGACACTGAATTATTTAAAGTGTAATTTAGATCTTTTTCTTCTCCCACAGAAGTGTGAATTTTTCTGCTTTCACGAACATTTAAAATTCCGATGTTAGAATATTTTAACATTTAAGAAAAGAAAAATTTTGTTTTTTAATTTTTAATTAAAATGCTACATAAATTTAAAAAGTGAGGTGAAAACATAGCACATGTGTGTGAAATGTGACCAAAATGTATCTTTTATATATATATATATATATATATATATATATATTCTTTACCCTGTTGAGGGCATCTTTCCTAGTTTTCTGTTACCTCTTTGTATTAAAACAAAGTTTATTTATTTTGTTTTTTGGCTGCCTTGAGTCTTAAGTTGAGCCTGCGGGATCTTCCCCTTGGGACATGCAGAATCATGCTCCTTTGGCCCAGACTGAGATTCATTAATTTAGAAAAGCATAAATATACACTAGCTTTAAGTATCAGAAATGAAAGTAATGGGATCTGGATTACGTGTAGTACCACTCTTGTGATGAACTATTTGAATACCTCAAATTTTTATTGTGCCAATATTGGGAGAGAAAAAACCCAACCCAGAGAGAACAGTAGATTTCTTATGACTAGAATCAATAGGACGACCCTATGTTGGAAAGCGCATGCGCTCAGACTCAGTTGGCGCCCGCCCTTCTGCTTTTTCTCCAGCCGCCGTTTCCTCCACCTTTCGCGCTCTAGCCACCCGGGAAGCCCAGTTAAGGGCAGCTAGGCTCTGATTGGCTCCTTTAAAAGTTCACGGGCTATCTGATTGGTGAATCCAGGACCCTTTAGCGCGGTGAGTTTGAAACTGCTCGCACTCAGCTCCAAAGCTGGCACTAGGAAGTTAGGGGACAGCGTCGCGGACGAGGTAGCCGCCGCAGGTTTCGCCGCGGGATATAAGCCGGGTAACGTTGGTGGGGTCAGGGTCTTGTCTATGGGGTGTCGACTGGGAAGGGCCGGCTCGCGGGCCTGGGAGTGGGAGTATTAATGAAGCAGGTGATAATTGGGAGGCTGGGCTCTGGGCAGTGGGGTTCTGCGTACCGCCAGGCCCGGCCTTAACCCGAGGCCCCGAGCCTGCGAGTGGACCGACACCAACCCCGGCTTCACTGGGAGGCTTGCGGGAGCCCAGCCCGAGTAGGGTTGCTTCGGCAGGGCTGGCATTGCTTTGGCTTCTGAATTGCAATCTGGGGTCGCGGGCGGCTGAGGAGGCTTTCGGGGCTTGATGGAAGCCAGATTTGTGCCTTCGTTCGCCGACGCCAAACGCTTGTGGAGTGCCAGGCTCGGCGCTGTAGCTCCTAACCTCGCCTCCGGGAGTGGAAAGCAAGACCGCAACTCGGACAGGTGCTCGGGCCTGCTTCTAATCCCAGAAACCGACCAGAAGAACTAATTTATGGGCCTTTTCTCAGCTTGCTTCTCTGCTCCCATGACCCTAGCCTACCTGGAGCTTTTAAGAACACTTATCCTGGGCATAGACCCCGAGAGAACTTGGATTTTTTGGATTTTATTTTATGCTTGGTGGTTGTTACATACAGTGGAATTGGCAAAAACTGGAAATCTAAGAAACGCCGAGAGTTAGAAACGTGTCTTTTTAAATCCTTTAATCAGTTTTAACATGCAGGTCTTGCTTTCTCTAAAGACCTGGAGGTGTCTGGGCGGATGAAGCCACTGGTGTTTTACATCCTGCCACTAGGAATAGAGGAGGCATTCAAAAGGCATTACGAAGCCACATCCTTTATTTAAAATAGTTGCAACCAGGAAAAGGTGGAAGAGTAATTGAACCCAGCTTTGAAATTGAGTTAGTTTTCAGTTATTTGGTTTAAAGGAAGCTCCACGGTTTCATTGTGACTTGGGCATATTACAACTGGATATTGAAGAAGATAGTTAATCTTAATCCATTGCCATTTGTAAAATTCAGCATTTTTAAGATGGCCAGTGTAGTGCAGTTTTGTTTATTTAAAAAAGTTTATCTCTGCTTATGTCTGGAATGATTTTGAAAAAGAATGTGAGAAATAAAACTTAAGGGTCAATATAACTTATGGTTCAGTAACCTTTATATATGATTTTATCAGTGATATAAAACGAAGGTTTGGGCTTCTGAAGTTAATGTTTCCGTGGCAAACTTACCAGGAAGTCTTGAGTATCTGGTTGTCATTTCAGCTTTTTTTTTTTTAACCATTTTTTTGTGATTCAAGTATATGGACATTCTTTGTTCTTTGACATTGCATGGGGTATAATTAAAATAGACTTTATGTGTGTAATTGCCCATTTTCTTTTAGAGTGCTTAGTGATATTTCCTACTTTATAAAAGGTATCTTGAACGTTTTTTGTCATGTTTGTGTTACGTGACTCCTGACAACAAGAGAAAGATTAAAACTGTCATTTGAGCAAGTTGAAATGAATATACTTTTGCTGCTTTAAATATTTTCTAACGGTTGAGCAGTGTGACCACATTTTAGCTCCCTACTCATGTCTTTAAAAATTGTTTATTAACTTCATAGAAGTATCATGAAGCTACAAATTCACGTAGCATTCTTTGTTGAAATATTTGGGTATAACTGGCATACATTGATGAGCCTTAGAAGTCTTATGTAAAGAACATCAGGGTTTTGTTTGGGACGGATAGATAAGTTGATGTCTGAATTTTGAAGGTTAACTTTGAAAGAAGCTCCTAGGTGGCTCTAGTGGTAAAGAACCTGCCTGCCAGTGCAGAAACAACAGACAGGGGGTTCCATCCCTGGGTCAGGAAGATACCTTGGAGGAGGGCATGGCAATCCACTCCAGTATTCTCAGCTGGAGAATCCTATGGCAGAGGAGCCTGGCAGCCTCCATAGACTCACATTCATAGGCTCAGACACTGAAGCGACTTAGTACGCTAAAGTTATCCAGGTATAGGATATACAAATATTTCCAATGTTTCTGAAGCTAAGAAAGGTGGGAGAGTCTTGAGTTCTTCCCCTTGAAAATATTGTTTTAATAGAATAGCTAATATTATGGAAAATTTGTTAAAAATTTATTTATATTTGGCTGCACTGGATATTCATTGCCACAAGTGACTTTCTCTAGTTGAGGCAAGTGGGTGCTACTGTTTGTTGCAGTGCACCAGCTAGGTGCATAGGCTTCAGTAGTTGTGATGCTTGGGTTTAGTTGCCCTGTGGCATGTGCAATCTTCCTGGACCAGGGATTGAACCTGTGTTCCCTGCATTGGCAGATGGATTCCTATCCATGAGGGACTTTCCTATTATGGAAAGTTAATACTGCTCTAGGCACGATGGGAAATTCTTTACTTGTAATATCTCAGAAATAACTTAAAAGCACCCTTTGTATTAGTGGCATGTAATCAAATAAGCTTTTCTTCTCATTTTAGGATCTACCATACCCACTGATTAAGTATGGAAGACTATACCAAAATAGAGAAAATTGGAGAAGGTGAGTGGTTTTAATAATATAAAAGGATTTTTAAAAAATGATTTAATTTTGACATCTTTGACACAAAGATATGTAAATATTCAAATTCAGTTTTTAAAGTATCTAACAGTACATTGTGCATTAATACATGTGTTCTCTACATAATAGCATAAGCAAAAAAAAAATAGTTAACCTTTCAAGAGAATTGAAATTATTCTGACATGTCTCCCTAACAGCACCCCTCCAATAATCTTACATTCTTCTAATACTAAACACTTAAAGCAATATATCTATATATTTTTAAAAAACACTATTGCTGTTTTGTAGGTGTGTTGAGGAGAGTGTTAGGGCAGTGAAATTATGTGCTTTAGTTTTAAGTACGTCTGCATATACTCTCTGAAGTTCTAGTCAGGGTCATGTATTTTATTTGGCAGTTAATGTCTTCATAATGTCTTTTGATTAAAATAGTTCTCTTGTCTTTTCCCCCTTGACATTGAATTTTTGACTACCCAGTTCATTTCTTAAATATATCAACTCTTATTTCAGTTATTACTGAGTTGTTCTGTGGTTTTCTTCTGAGTTAACAAAAATAATTCATTGAACTCAGGTAATAATTTGAACCCCTTTCTGCCTTTTTAGATCACAGAGAACATAACTATATGCATGATGTGGAACCTTAGTTGGCGTTTAGCAGACAGCCTATAACCATTTGTTGATTAATGGTTTTTCTGTTTATTGTTCAGTCTCCATAATTTGCCTGTATTGAAGATTTTTGAATTTTATAATGCAACTTCAAAGTTCATGCTTTGCATCTCACAAATGATTTTTGGTAATCAACCAGTGAAATGACTATGCTCTGTTTAACTAGAGCACCGTTCCAGTAGTTCAGTGAGAAGTGGCAATGATTCAAAAAGAGTCGGGAGAGATGAAGAGCACTTATGATGGCTAAAACTCAATTCACTATATACTGAGTGTTCACTATAAGTTAATCAGTGTCTATTTTGAGTAAATTTTAGGACCAGGTGAAAGTTGTACACTTGAGTGAGAGGTAAGAATACTTAAAAAAAAAAGTTTGAATTTGTCATTAACTTCTTATTTGACTATATTATGCAAATGACTGATCTTCCTGAGTCTGTCTTAACAGTGTGTTGGGTGAGGGTGCTACTGGCTTACCTACTTTTGTATTTAATCCAAGTATAATTTGCATCTGAAAAATGTACAGATTTTAAGTGTACAGAAGGCCCATCCATGAAGGATGGTGGTGAAGATCAAATAAGATCAGTTCTCCTTTCTATTTTTTGACCTCACAACACTTGTCGAATTTTAGTTCCTTGAATCAGGGACTGAACCCAGGCACTAAGCAGTGAAGTGCAGAGTCCTAACCACCAGGCCACCAGGGGATTCCCAGATCAACTGGCTACCCAAAGCACAATTACTCCAGATTAGTCAAAATAATATACAATGGATTTTATGTCAACTTACGTTTTTAAAATGACACCATGACATGGACAATTGGATAGAATTTCTCTATTTAAAAAAAAAATAGAACAGAGTTTATATAGCCTCAGTTTGTCACTGAGCAAACCATCCTTAATATTCTGATCAAACAAGTAAATCATTTATTTATTAGTGGTTCTTAGCCTTTTTTGAAATACTACTAGTTTTGGAGAAACTCTTAAAAAGCTGTAAAATAAGCTGTAAAATAGACTTCCTTAGATATAAGTCCCTCCTAATTACTTTTGAAGTTACACTGATGTCACAGAAAAAATAGTAAAGCTATTTAAGAAAATTTTCATGTAATTAAGGGAGTCAAGACCTCCCTTAAATTGTCCAACCCCAGCTTAAAAATCACTTAACCTGGGGGATTCAGCATATCATGCATATTAACTTGTTTTTAGCTGACTAATCCATTTCCCTTATTGCCTTTTCTGTTCGGTGCACCCAACCATCCCAGGAACCATTATATTGGAATTGTTGCTCATTATCTAAAGCCCATATATCAGAATCCATATTCTCAACTTCCAAATGGATGTGAGGCTTCCTGCATTTATTTTTTGCCTACCTTGTGTAGGATATTTGACAGGACATACACTCCAATTTGCAAATCATCCTTTTTCTCTAAAATGTGCTGGAAAATTATTAGTAATTTGAATTGTATGGGGAACCTGTGATGACTATATGGATTTTCTAAACTGCAGATAGGTTAGGTTGTAATTAGCCTCTTTTCTTTCAGAAGTGATGAGAGTATAATTATGAATGAGATGCTTCCTTTGAGGCCACAGTAGATGTTTCTATCATGTGACACCTTGTGGAATTCAATCATCTTTTTAAAAATTTAGTTTGTGGGGGTTGTCACATAGCAGACACTTACTTTGTCTATTTCAGGTACCTATGGAGTTGTGTATAAGGGTAGACACAAAACTACAGGTCAAGTGGTAGCCATGAAGAAAATCAGACTAGAAAGTGAAGAGGAAGGGGTTCCTAGTACTGCAATTCGGGAAATATCTCTATTAAAAGAGCTTCGTCATCCAAATATAGTCAGGTATGGTATAATATCTGAATTTGAATCATTTTCCGCATGCTATTTCACATGTGAATTTCATTGTGAAAATTTTTACAGTTGCTTAATTTCTGATCGAACGTTTCTGAGTAGAATAGAATCTTACTATTTTTGTTCATTGAGAATGCTGGGCACAGAAAAACATAGGCTTTTAAAGCAGGAACAGAGTTGGAGGGGCTTGGTGATAGAGATTAGTAGTGGAGGCTGGAAAATCAGGATAAACTAGTCAAGGGAGACAAGGAAGTCTTTTTTCAAAAAACTTTGTCACTGTTCCAACTCAGAGCTCTGGTCTTTAAGGACTCCTTAATTAGCGACCTGAGATAGGTAGCTAGGTCAGGTGAAAGTTAGGATTTAATTGCATTTTGGGGGCTTGAGATGGTGAACAACTGGTAAGTTTAAATAATACTTCAAAAAGTTTATTTCTATAATTTGCCTCAATGGAAAGACAAGCTCTAAGCAAGAAGCAGTCAGTCTAGAGATATTCTTCTGGAATACAGGCTGTTTACCAAGTTAGCACCTGTAACGTCACTTAATTTTCAGTTGCTGCCCTGAGGTTCCTTTCTCAAATTCTAGTTTAATACTACTGTTTTCACTAGGGAAGTTACCACCTCTTTCCCAAAACAGTATAGCATGTATTTGTTACTGAAGAAATTTCTTGTGGCCTGCTTTTTCTAATAGCAACTATGAAGTGTATAGAAGCCATTTTATTTTGTGAGAGATCAAAAATGTTAAGGTTTATAATTGTTTTATTTTTCAGTCTTCAAGATGTGCTTATGCAGGATTCCAGGTTATATCTCATCTTTGAATTCCTTTCCATGGATCTCAAGAAATACTTGGATTCTATCCCTCCTGGTCAGTTCATGGATTCTTCACTTGTTAAGGTAAGAATCTTGCCTAATTTTGTTAGTGTTTGTCCACTGTGAATGTAAAGGGTCTCCTCTTTAGAAGTGCCTGTGTTTCATGAGAATATACTTGGAAAAAGTGTTAGAAAGTAGAACAAGGAAGAAAAGAATGTTTCATTAAAAAATATTTTGTTTTTTCTCACATAGTCTATAGTTTAGGTTGTTAACAATTACCCATTTTATTACTAGACAGTGTTTCTGGTTGTAAAGTGAAAAGCACTGCCTGATTGTTGGAAACTAGGATATTCTGTTCTTTGTCAGTCAGATATGTGTAAAGTAAAAGAATAAAAGCCTGGGACAGAGTGATGCTGGCAGGCAGTTTCATTTTATTCTGGATTTGAATATATATTTTGGTTAATTTATTGTAGAGATTAAACTTCATTTAAATTTAAAATAATCATCCTTATACCATCTCTATCAAACCACTCCTCAGAGGTAGCCTTTGTTTTATTAGTAATCTTAGAGATACTTGTATGTCAACTTTGTATAAACTTTTTATAAAAATGGGATTTTATATATATTAGTATATATGCGTTACTTTCCCTTTTACTGTGTAAAGTGTGAGTATATGAACCCATCTTTCTGATGTCTGATATAATTGCGTAAACCAGCTCCACACTGGCGGACACCGAAGTTGTTTTCCAGCTTGGTGACTCATGTCCTTATGGTCAGTGCGGCAGTGAATATCTTCATATCTTCCTGTGTATCTTTATAGGAGTCTCACTACTGAAATCAGTGGGTTGAAGATGTTTATTTACACTTAAAATCTTGATAGTGCCAGTTAACCCTCTAAAAAATTAGACCAACATCATGGTGTAATATAATTTTTTTAGCACATCACTGTCAAAACTTGTTTTGATTAATCTTTTTGATAACAATACTATGTGAAAAATACATTAACATCATTTTGCCTTTCATTTAACATTTTTCATTTCTTAGCCATTTTATAAACACCATACATATTTTTCACTGTTGATTCTATTAGGATACTTTTTTCACTGGTTTCTAAGAGCCTCTTATTGGTAATGTGTTGATAATAGTTCTTTTATTCCTTTTTTTTTTGTCTTTTGTTAATGGTGTGTATATACCATTAGTTATTTTTATAATTTAACATACTTGTACATATTGGTACATGAATTTCGGGGATTTTTATGTCTTATTTAAGTCTTCCTCATGCAAAGATCACATGTATTAGAACAGTACATGACAGTGTTTTTCTAGTGGTTTCAGTAGATTACCATTCCTTGTTGTGTCTTAAATTCTAGATGGATCAAAGGTTTCTTTTGATGTAGGAACTAGGGTTCTTAATGTTTTTTCCAAATGGCTAGCCATTTGTTCCAACTGATTGGTTTTATGTATTTTATAATTTTGAACTTTATAGTCAATACTATTATTTTATATTTCCATAATACCCATGTTGCTTCAAATGTCAATTACATTGTGTTGGCAACAAGTATCTTACAAAACACTTCTCTGAACTGCTAAACAGTGTTTTGCCATAATTATATCTATTTAAATACAGTCATAATATTCTGGGTTTTTCTTTCTTTTTTTAATTTGTGACCAGTGTTTCCAAAGAGGAAATGAATATCTAAAGATAAACGATAGAAATGGAAAAGACTAAACTTATTTGGGACAGAACTAGAGTTGCTATAAGTATATAAAACAAGAAACTTTTTATGTATAGAAAATTGCCTTATTACTTAAGAATTAGGGACCAGAATAAGTAAAAGAAAACGAAATGAGTGCCTGTAGATGTGCCCATAAGGTGAATATCTTTATCTTAGTTGTACAAACATAATACTTGATATAAATAGGCTTCTCACCCCCCAGATACTTCCTGTTAGTCTCAGGTGGCCTGAGAACTTTTTTGGTAAATTGTTTATTTCTCTGCATTATAATCTCTTATGTCTTTGAAAGAAGCCTACCAAGATTATTTAGAAAATCATTCCATCATATGGTTAAGTTTCTAATTTATATTTCCTTCTTCCAGAGTTATTTGTACCAAATCCTACAAGGGATTGTGTTTTGTCACTCTAGAAGAGTTCTCCACAGAGACTTGAAACCTCAAAATCTATTGATTGATGATAAAGGAACAATTAAACTGGCAGATTTTGGCCTTGCCAGAGCTTTTGGAATACCTATTAGAGTATATACGCATGAGGTATGTTTTTTGGTACTTTTGTTATGTGTGATTGAAGGATTGTTTTATGTGTTCTTTAAGACAAGAAAAAATAGAAGGATTTCATCTCTTTGTCAGTATCAGTTTATTCCTCGCTAGTCCTAAGTAACCCTAAATGGGTCTGGGACTTGTCAGTGTCTTTCCTTTGCCAGATGCGGGTATGTTACGCTCTGACAGTAGGGGGTGCTAGAGAGGCATTGCAGGAAGGAGTCGTTTATTCTTCCAAGTCAGTTTTCTGTTACAGTTATTAATCCTGCTTAGTAAACGTCCCGTGTTCACATTACATGTGATTTCTGTCTCTTGTTTGGATCCTGTCTTGAAAAAGACTAGTTAAAGATTTTTTTGATTAAGTATGACTATTTCAGATGCTTTTAGAAGCTTGTAAATATAACCAGATGACTTGGCTTTTTGTTTGCTGTTTCTGGAGGGAAAAAGAATGCTGAATCACAGTTAAGGATTATTGGGAAACCTTGTCTTCTGTGGAGTTGTCTACCCTTGTGCTCAAAGACTTCCTCTAGCTCAAAACTTGTAACAGTGCACCTCTGGTCAGATGTCTTGGCTCCTTTTTAATCATTCATTTTTATAATTTTTCCCACGGATCTGTAAATATATATTATTTGGTTTCCACTGGTTTAAATAGATGCTGTTGCCCTCCATTGTGATAAATTAGATATGCTAAAATAGTAGATTGGTGCTGCTGCTGCTGCTAAGTCGCTTCAGTCGTGTCCGACTCTGTGCGACCCCACAGACACAGCCCACCAGTCTCCGCCGTCCCTGGGATTCTCCAGGCAAGAACACTGGAGTGGGTTGCCATTGCCTTCTCCAAGATTGGTGCTAGACCACTAATAAGCTATTGTTTGCCTTGGTTGTGATTTTAGCATGTAAGTGATGCATACACTTGTACAGTATAGTGTCAACCTAAATCCAGTATCATTGTGCTTTTGTTTTTAAGTGAATGCTGTCTTGAGTGTTTTGATCCTTGCGTTTTACTGATTTGAAAAGACTTGGTATGCTTTTATCTTTTCCTCCTTAGTGAATATAACTTACAAAGTATTTATCTAACGTTTAGTATTGTGTGTAGTTAATTGACTTTTAAACACTATCAGAGACAGTTGTGCAGCATTCTAAAGGACAGTCCTAATATAAATGTTTACATTTATATAATTTAATGTGCCACATTTATTCCAAGTAAGGTATTTTCTTTGTAATAGGTAGTGACACTCTGGTATAGATCTCCAGAAGTATTGCTGGGGTCAGCTCGCTACTCAACTCCAGTGGACATTTGGAGTATAGGTACCATATTTGCTGAATTAGCAACTAAGAAACCACTTTTTCATGGGGATTCAGAAATTGATCAGCTCTTCAGAATTTTCAGGTATTTTTCAGTTACGCTTGAGCTGTTAAGAACTTTAAAATTAACATGTAGATAACACGAATTATGTTGATACTTTAACTTGTAAGTTTTTGTTTTGTTCTGGGTTTTTAGAGCTTTGGGCACTCCCAATAATGAAGTGTGGCCAGAAGTAGAATCTTTACAGGACTACAAGAATACATTTCCCAAGTGGAAACCAGGAAGCTTAGCATCCCATGTCAAAAACTTGGATGAAAATGGCTTGGATCTGCTCTCGGTAAGGAATACCCTTTATATTGGTTTTAACACCATGGATAATTAATTCTGAATGTACTTAATTCTATCTTTACCTAGGAAATAGGAATAAAATCAACATTTCTTGAGCTAGACATTTAACTGTTATGTCTGTTATGTTTATTATATTACTAGCTCCTTTTTAGTATATGTGCTACTGAAGCAAGCACATTACTAATTCCATTTTAGATATGAAAAACACTAGTGGTTTTGAGAGGAAAATTTGGCATTTTTTTGTTGTCCTTATTGATTTGTTTTTGATCTGATAGTTATAGATACTCTGAAGGAGAGGACAGGGTTAATAATAACGCTGTAGGTGACTGACTTGGAGTGGCCCTCCTTTCCAGCTTTTTTGTCTTGGTATTTACTGGTTTTTAGTTTAGACATAGGTGTCTTCCTTATTTTTTCATATTGTTGGTTATTAAAGCCTTTGTTGCATGAATTTCCATTTCTCACCTTGTGCTTCATTTCCACATCAGATAGGTTAGCAAAGGTATGAATGTAGTTCTTAAAACCTTCCCCTCTATTACGTTGCTGTTCCAACTAAACAGCTGTGTTCTTTAAAAATAAGACAAAAAATAATTTGTTAGAATAAAATAAATTGTCCTAGACCTGCCTCAGGAAATTTATTTTAGAACAGTATTTAAATACTGAGGCGTTAGAAGGAATCTCAGGTAATGTAATTCCAAAAAAGAAATTTTGGTAGGTTACTAAACAAAGGGAAAAAATCTGTTGCTGTTTCATCATACACATGTTCTAATTGCCCTCTGGGCCTCTTTTGTGGGTTATAACCATGCCTCCAACTCCAGCTCAGAGTTCCCAAATGCTTCCAGTACAGTCCAGGGTCCTTTACTGCCACTCAGATATTTTGTGCATCAGCATTGATGATGTGGTGTAAAAGGCCCTCTGTATTCCTGGCCCAGTCTGGGATTCTTGAACATTTCAAAAAATGCCACTTGAGTTAACCAAATGAAAATCATCTGTCATCACGGTTCCTTAGTCTAGCCAGTATTGACATCTTGGACTGGATCATGTTTTGCTGCTGGAGGCAGTCCTGTACATCATCAAGATACTTAACAGCATCCCATTTCTGTGTCCTGTAGATGACATTAACACATTTTCGTCCTAGTTGTGACAACCCCAAATGTATCTACACATTGCCAGATACCCTGTTGGGGCAGTCTCATCAGGTTGATAATCACTGCTGTAAACCCTGTTAGTCTTGGTTTCAAATATCATCTTTCTCACTCGTAAGCTCTATGAACTTGGGCAAGTTCCTTAACCTCTTTGAGCCTCAGTATTCTGATTTGTAAAGTGGGACTAATTCATACCTTTTGTTGGCAGGATTAAGTAACATGAAATGAGCAAAGCACTTAGTAGAGTGCTAGCTATAGAATAAGAGCTTAAATGGTAACAAGATGGTAGAAGTATTGCTAGGTTGGCTTATTGATTTAGTTTTAAGATTTCTTTCAGATACATTTTAACTTTATTCAAACTTTTCCGCTGATGTGTAAATAAACTTTAATATTAAGTTTTCTGACCATGGTTCATTTAGTGACTCATTTTAGCTATGTTTATAGCATATTGCACGCTGGTTTTGTTTTTATTAGAAACTTGGTGAAAGCTACATTAGAAACCTCTATAGTTAATTACCACAATTTCAGGAATGTTGTAAGTAACTCAGAGGGCCTTTTAATTCTCAAAGTAAATATAATTAACTAGATAATCATTCTTAAATTTATGCCTTGGTTTTAAAGTTATCCATGAGTACTTGTGTCTTAAATGTAATTTATAGAAAAAGGGTTATCAAGATATTTGTGATTTAAAGAATAGATCATTTTAGAGCTAGTGGGTGAGGTAAAACATTTATGTGCTTTGGTGTTAAACTAATGGGAATGTTCATTTAGTAGTTTTTCTTTAAAATTATTAGTGTATGGCTTATTGGTAGAAAAGTAAGGCTTTTGGGGGATTTTTTTTTTCCTTAAATAAATAACCTTTTAAAAAATCTTTTCCTCACACAGAAAATGTTAATCTATGATCCTGCCAAACGAATTTCTGGCAAAATGGCACTGAATCATCCGTACTTTCATGATTTGGACAGTCAAATTAAGAAGATGTAGCTTTCTGACAGTTTCCCTGTGTTGTGTCAAGAACAGATAATTGTATTTTTACTGTTCATCTCTGTTTTCTGTCTTGTGTATTTTTCTCTTCTTTGTTGTAAAACTTAATCTGTACTTCATCTTCTGATTTCAAAAGTAACTTAAAAATGTAAATACTGTTCTATATGAATTTAAATATAATAATTCTGTATATGTTTGTAGATCCCACTGTAACAGCTATTTGTTACTATAATAAAACTATATAAATCTAGTATTGATGTCAGGAATCAGGAAATTTGTAAGTTAACTCAAACCATCTAAAATGCTACCCCAGTCTTCTTTTCTTGTTGGAAATACTAAAATTTAGGAAACTGTGCTAAGTTCAAAGTTCATGTTGCTTTGAAGTATTTTTATACTGTTTAAATTTTCTTGTCAATTTCTTGCCATGTGGTAACTATACAACCTGCCTAAAGATGAATATTTTTCTACTGGTATTTCAATTTGTGACCTAAATGTTTAAGCATTCAGAATGAGAGAACTATCTAGATTTGAGAGGCGAAGCTTACTTTATAGAGGTTTTTAGTAACTTGTAAAACTAGCATCAGTGTATGCCAAAGCTTGCTAAGTTTCACAGTCAGAGACCAAGGGCTGTCCACAGCAGGAAAGAGCAGTTTAGAAAATTTATGGGCTGTCCTATTTTTAGGTAGGCTATGAAAGTTATTAGTCTGAGTGAATTCTTGTGCTTTGGTCAGAGGTAATAACCATACAAAGGAGTTGCTTATCTTGGCTTTCAAGTCGGACTAAAACTCTTTGCAAATTTTGACATAGTTTAGTTTATTAGCAGCCTTCTTAGAAGGTTCTAATGTATAATTATTTAGCCAAGATCACTAGCTTTTGGAATTGTTTAATAATGCTGCTCATTGTGATTTTTACCTGTAAGTTGCCTAACATTAGATTGTTATAGCCAAGAGAAATGTCTCTAAAAATAATTTTTGTCATTTTTAGTGTACATCTATCCATTGGCTGCCCATATGCGCTGCTTTTCATGGTGGTTACCCATGACTGGAATGAGCCTTCTTGTGTGGCTGATCCAGTTGATTGAGTATGTAATGGGTGATCTACCTAATCTTGTTGTCTTCTAATGTTTTCACTTGAAGAGAAAGTATGGGTCACTTTCTTTGGCAACAGGGCATAAGGTGAGAGGTTTGGTGGCCTTCTTCTAGGTCTTTTGGTGGAAGCCAGCCTGCAGTAAGGGAATGCAACTGGAGATGGAAGTTGTTTGAGGTCACACTGTTGAGAGATTTTATGGTGGGAATTTGGTAAGTGAAAGGTCACACAGAAGAGTTAATTGAGATGGTGAAATGGAGTATCTGCAGACTGTCTATGAAGTATTGAAATGGGTCTACTTTTCAATTGTGCATTACAGACCTTTAGAGGTGTAGACAGCATTGATAACTGATACCCCTACCCCTCTGCCCCCACAAAACTATCAGTGTGTCTTATATAATTATTTCTTGGTCCTTCTGTTTCAATAATATGTAGATGCATTGGTGTCACCAATGTTTGGGGCCTTGTGGATTTGGTAGCAGCAGCCTGCATGCTCATTGCTATTGTTCTGTGCAGTCTAATTGTCTGAAAAGTCAGTAATTCATCAGTTTAGAACCTACTTGGTGGACCAGAGCAATGAGATGGAAGAAGCCTGCCATCAGTTGCTATAATGAGACATACTTTTTGTTCTGCTCCAGCTTTCTGTGTAGTCCTAAGTAAAGTGTTATGTCAGCTTCAGTGACTAGTTGAAAAGCCACTGAATTGGGTCCTCATCTCATGCATATTTTTAAATTGGCTTGTGCTGTGGTGCTTCTGATTGATTTTTAAAGTGGATCTTGTCTCTGGGTCAGTAGCTCTTAAATCTGTTCTGTGCTAGAAACACCTGAGACTAACTTTCGTCCTACCCTGAACAGTTAAAAGTGCCCCAAGATGATTGTGATGCAGCCGGTTATCACCAATTGGTGGTGACTTTAACAACATTGGACCCGCATCTAGTTTTAGTTGTCTGAAAACTTTGTTATCTTGCATTATCTCTAACTTGTTCTATTTCTGTTTTAGGCTGTACAAAGTTCTTTGGTGAGGGGAGAGGTTTGTGTGTTTTATCACCAATAGGAGACTTCCATATACTGTGACTAATGCTGTATCTTATTGTCTGTAGGCTTTAGAGAAGGATTTGTTGTTCTTAAACATAAAATATAAAGGCAGTAATGATGCAAAGAAGTGAATACATAATGTATAATAAAATCATTAATTTATATGTGGACATGGCCTGTGTGAATTAAATGTTTGAAAAAAAATGATAGTGTTTTAGAGTGAACAAAAGGTCTTTGGGGGACTTGGTTAACAATAAAATAATTTTTAATTAGTAAAAGGAGACTTGAAAGTTCTTGGCAAAATGTACTTCTACATTAGTGCTTCTAGCAAACTACTTAATAACAGGTCAACTTCAGCCCCATCCCTATTTAAATAGTTGCCATATTCCTAGGACCCGAGGATCATTTTGCATTTTGTGGATAGAATAGAGACATTTAGATATGTATGTGGGCTGTAGAGTCGAGAGAGTAGTGGGCATTGTTTGAATAGGTCTGGGGCAAGATGGATAGAGTATTGAGTGACTAAAGAGAAAGCAAAGGATGGAGGGATAAAGTGTGAAAGTACCTGAAGAGGGAGAAACTTCTGACTTAAAAATAGCATCTAGGAAACGGTTCAGGTGGGACAGTAATGGTACTGACAAGGATTGTGACATTTGATCTTTGGAGAAGGGAGTGAAGTTAAATATAATTGTAAGCAAGAGTAGACCTTTTCAGTCCCATACTGTAGTTTGAATATTGAGTTTCTAAGATGCCTTAAAAACTTTAGAAGAAATGTATTGAGAGTCATAGACTTGGTTGTTGAGAAGGGAAAAGGTATCACAATACCTGCATTCCTTAGAATACTGAAAAGTCTGGTTTTCAAACTTGAATTAGGATCTGGATCGGCATAATATAAAGATTCCAGTTTTAGAGCCATGTTAGATGTTAGGGCTTGGTTCTCAATTCTGCCAATTCTGTCTGTGGCTTTGGGTAAGTCACTCAGAGTCTCTGAATCAATTTCCTTAACTGTGCAATGGAGATAATAAATGGTATTTATTTATATAAATACATAAGCAGGATTGTAAAATTGTTATGAGGGATGCAGACAGGGCAGCCAGGCATCATGCACACACACAGAGACATACACATACAGATATAATGCATGTCTCTTTGTCAGGATCCTCTCATGTTCTCTTCAATACATGGCAAAAATTGGGCAGTTAGCTATTTTTCTGTCACAGTAATTGGTGCTTAAATCTGTTAAATGGCATTACAAGGTACACTAGATGGGGAATATGGGTAAAGTTCCTGGTACATGGTAGTTCCTTTCTCCTTTGAAGTCTCCCACTTTTTTCTTACATTACTCATAGCACTTTTATTTTCTCCCTTACTGAGGTCTGGGGCCATGTCCTGTTTTTTCATCCCCACAGCCCTCTGTCTAGAACCTCAAGTGCTAGACTAATCCCAGGCCTTTAAGGTTGCTCATAGGTTATGTTACCTTCCGTTCAACAACAACTGAACATCTCTGGTGAGCGGCCACTGTGCTTCACAGACACTTCCTGTTTTTCCCAGCAGTCTTGGAGTGGGCATCTTCATCTTAGAGACGGTGAAACTAAGATTCATAGAGCTTAAGTAATTTGCCAAAGGTTGCTGCAAGGCTAGTTAAAAGCAGGAGCAAACTTGGGAACTGACTTCACAATGTTCTCTTTTCATGGCATTGTATTGGTTTCCAAGATAAACTGATAGAACATGTATTTAGTTTCTAAAGTTTAAGAAGAAAGAACTCAAGAAGGCAGGCAAATAGTAAAGCGAGTGCAGCCCAGGTGCCAAGGGGTTCTCTCCCAGCTCAGGGTCCAAACCAGCCCCCCCAGATTTCAGGCTTCCCTGTGAGCCCCAAAGCTCCTGAGACCTCTACTTCAAGGTCGAAAGGACCAAGGTGAGATAGTTTTCAGTCAACGTTCATTTTCCTGTCCCACTTTTACTACTCTGTATGTGGTCCTCTTCAGCTTCTTAATCCTGGCTCCTTTTTCATACAGATGACCCAGATTGGATCAGAGTGATAAGCCATAACCCAACAGCAGTAATTGGTTCAGGGGGTGGGCAAATGACCTAAATAAGACCCATGAGGGTCCATTTTGCTATGGAAACCTTGAGAGAATGAAGTCTTTCTGCTGACACTGCTAAACTGGGACAACAGGGCTAGGAGCCTGAGGCATCTTCCCCATTCTGCCAAGAAAGTGATGAATAGAGAAAGATTCTTGGGGGTTTGATGTCCCTGGACTCTGGTCCTCAAGCCTGGTTCTGGCAGAGCTACCTTAACATTTGGAGCTACTCAGTATCCCTTGTAGGTGTAGCAGTTGCGGGGTTTTTTGTTTGTTTTTGCTTAATTTGGTTTGAGTTGGGGTTCTGTCATTCCAACCCCAAAGAGTCAAAGCCATCCATACTAAAATAACAATTGTTTAATTTTAAAGGAAGCTCCAACTTAAGCACCCTTCCAGTTATAAATCCTTACATAATTGAATATCTTCCCTTTAAAAGCTCTATTGTTCATAATCATTGTTTTAACTGCAGCTTCTAGTTTTGGTTGTGTAAAATGATACTGATAGAAATGTATCCCTATTGTCATTTCAAAGAGCCTACAAACTTGAGGAATGTTTATGTATATGGACCTACTCTTACCAGTTAGGAGGAGAAATCTGTAAAGTAAACTTCACTGTAAAGTAAACTGTAAAGTAAAGTAAAAAAGAAAACTTCCACAGGCAGTTGTTTCTTCTCTTGAGATACAATTTCAAAACCATGCTATTTTCTGCTAAGGAAATGATGGAGTAACAAGCAGAATGGGGATAATATTTCTTAATGAGTGTTAGTTTTTGTAAAGAGCTTTGTAATAACTAGCCTATG